TCCCAGATGTGTGCCAGACATGCTGCAGCCCACCTCATAGCCACCACATAGAGCCAAAAGACTGAGTCAGGAAGGTAGTTTACAGCTACCTGGTGCTATGAAATTTGCTGGAGAAGGAGGGATCCCAAATCCATTGATTATGTAAGGTGAGCTGAAGTCATCCATCTCATCATTATATATAATTCCACTCACGTTGGATCGAATATCAGAGCCAAAGCTAGAGAAAACAAGTTGTCATAGACATGTCAAAAACAGAGCAAGTCCAGAAGGAGCTTCAGGTGAAATACTGCAATGTGAAACCTGGGATTTGATTGAAGTAACTCTCCACTCCCTCCCATTGTAAAGAACTTTCTGTCACCCCTAGAGGGGAAGGAAGCAGTTAATACCGTGAGTACACAGCTATTCAAAGAGGAAAGGCAGCCCAAAGCGCTGCCCAACAGCTCCCCTGCAAGAACCCCAAGGGGAAAACCAGCACAGCAGCTAAGTACCAGTATTTCCCCTTCCAGCTGGGCAGTACCGCACTCCATTCAGGGCAGCACAGCTCAAAGTCTGGCATATTTGGGAATGATTGGGGGTTTGCTTAGATGTGTCAAGCTGAAGACATTTTCTATGGACAAAAAGAACCTTCACACCCTAGCTTCAGGCCATATGCATGAACACAGCCCTTTCTGACAGCACTCAAGCCAAACACTGTGCTTCCAGGACAGCTGTATTAGCTCAAATTCTTTCCAGGAGCCTGGGAAATCAGTGACAGCAGCGATAGCACTGCTTATGAGAAGATCCAGATGCAGTGAAAGTTGTTTTGATGCGGGGAACTCCGCATGAGAGAGGACACATCTTGTCCTCTGTCCCAACCACAGAGGCCTCAGTGTTCAGAACTGACCTGCAAGCTCAGCACAAGTGCCCATCAACAGTGTTACTGATCCCTACCCCACCCGAGGGGTGACAGCTCAGTGGTGTTTGATACCAACCCCAGAACCACCACTAGGAAGATGGCAAAGGCCTACATGGAAGTAATGTCTGAGCTCATACTATTGGTTGATGGTGCTGGTGGCGGACACAGCACTGCCATCATCAGCCACAATGGAGATGTGGGATGTACCGGCATTATCTCCAGTGTAATATACAGGCTCATAGTAGTCAACTGGATGGGAGGTGTTGTCTGTGATTTTCCTCCGGAGACTATCCGCATAGAACTCGGATGTCATGTTTCTGATTGCCTGTCAGAGAAATCCAATGCAGTTACTCAGCAGATTAAGAGACATGTAGTTATGAGGCTGATATCCAATACTTCAGACCACAGAACAGTGGCAAATCCCAGCATTGAGGCTATAGTTTTCCAGCAGGGGCTTTCCTCCTTCTTGAAAGACAGACATTGTACCAAAGAGTGTTTTAAGCAGTATCAGGAGCAGCTGTTACAGTGCACCCTTTTGTGTAGAAGTTAATTAGCATCCATTATTGCAGCACTATGGAAAGCTGTCCTCCACACTGCTGTAAGGCATAGGCAAGCAGGGCTACACCTGCTTGAGGGATGAGAGGAACGGGATCGGGTTGAGAGGACTAGGCCAAAAGCAAGCTCTGACCATGGCTCTGTAAGTTGAAAATTTGTGACCATCAAGCTGGGCTGGGCTCAGATCCTGCTGCTTTTGCAGTCACAGAAGTAAATGCACAAAGTATGAAGTTGGGAAAAGCAGGGTTTGTGTCTCACCCCTTCCCATCTGCTGGTCCACTTTACTATAGGCAAGACTATGGTTAAAGAGCCACAAGGACGCTAGGAATGTCATATAGTGAATAAGGCTTCAAACACTATAAAACCAGGCAGGATTAGCCCTAAACATACTCAAAGCTTTTCCTTACTTATAGCAGGAAGGTTTCCTCCATATATATCCCTCACAGCTTAGCCATAAGTCACATAGGACTTCACATTTCGATTCTGAACTATTTCAGTGCCTGTCAATAGCAGATGGCACAGAGCATGCCTGACAAAGCTTAGTCACCCAAAAACTTTCAGCCATGTTCCAGTCAAGCTTGGTGTTGCAGAAAGAAAAGGCTTTTGCCAGGTACCTCTGAAATGTTGACAAATTTTGGATCTCCCAGTAAAGTCCTCTTGGCATAGGCAAAGCGAAAGGCCTCTGCAATGCGGTGGTAAGTCAGACCTTTCTTCTCCACAGTTTTAATGCTGTCAGTGGAGAAATTATATCCTGGCAACAGAAGACAAAGTACTGTGAACACAAAGTACAAGGTCAATGGACTGCTAATACACCTGTGTCAAACTTGAAGCCCAGTCTCTACAGAGATGCAGTCACTGGACTGTCCTAATCTCCACATGGAGAACACAGGAGCTCTGGTAGTTTCAAGCACTGTGGGAGTCACCCACAGGATTTGTACCTGCAGAGATGTTTTCCAAAGAAGCTTCAAGTACATGTTAAGTTCCACCCATATAGGTATCAGGGAAGTTCCCCAATCAGGACAATATTTTCTCTCTCACACCTGTATTTCAAGTGGGAAGGTGACATCCCTGAGTTTACAGCAGAAGTGGAATGTTTCTGCATCTCTGATCCCTCCTGGGATCTCAGACTTCTCACCTGCTAGTGGGCTACCAAGGGAGGCCTTGCTCCCAAAACAGAAGGTGTTGTGTTTGGAGCTCTCCTAGCTCCTGCTGCCTGTGGGGCACTGCTCAGTGGCACTCTCACCTTTCAGTATGTTGAGAATGAGGGCCAGCACTGGGCCACTTAGGGGGGCACTGGGCGTGTAGAGAGTAAACTCCCCGAGTCTGATTGGTATGGGGTCCTCAATCACTGTTGCATTGTAGTCCCGCAGATCTTCCAGTGTCATAATCCCCCCTGGAAAGAGAAGGAAACTAGAGATGTGGGTTTATGTGATCTCTGGTGGGCAGAAGAGGTCATACTCCATCACCGTGCATCACAGCAAGGACGGGAGGGAACATGGAAAATTCAAAAAGTTGCAAGGTATAAAATGCAAAGATATGTGCACAGAACATTAATTTATTCCTTGATAGATCCATCTGAGGCTCAGATAGCCTAAGCATGAAGGTGGGCTTATTTACAGCAGCCAAAACTCTGGTGATCCATCTTTTCTTTACAAAGGACACCAGCAATGTCAGGCAACAAAATGTCCTTAAGAGTTCTGTTTACAGGAGAAGGATGCAGCGTTTGGGTGCAGATGCTTTGTGCTACCCCTCAAATAGCATAATCTGTATGTTCCACCGCATTTCTTATCAGAGGGTAAGACAGTAAACATCTTCCACAAATAAAACCAGTAAATGACTACAGGTTCACCGAAGCTAGCCACTGCTAGCTGGTGAGGACAGGATACTGCCACCATCTAGTGGTACCAAGAGATCTAACAGCTCAGAGTTTACAGGACCACATATGTAATGTTTTAGGAGGAAACTTATTGAATTCAGGCTCTGTAAACAGTGTGTATGCACTAAGCTATAGCCAGAACTGCACAGACTTGACAGACTATATAGTACAGAAATGCACAGAATATACTCTCCATTTCTGACTGAGTTTTCAAACGCATCCATTAAAGTGCTAACAGCTTCTCTTGAGTGTCCTCTTGCTACAGATCTCAGAGGCAGCACTTGAGGCACCACATTTGACCTGCTCCCAAGGCTTCCACAGGTCACCAGCTCCTCCCTGGGTGCTGAGCAGCAGCAGTCAGGTCACTCATGCTGTTTGGGACACATATCCTGTTTCTCACCTACGCTGTGGATGTCAGCGATGATCTGTTTTGCCAGGCTTCCTGTGTAAAAGGCATCTGCTCCTTCTTTGGCTATAGTCTCGTATGTCTTGGCTAGTTTAGGCATCTTGATGATATCACCCTCACGCAGAATTTTCCCTCCTTTGCAGAAAATTTCGCTAACAGAGAAAGGAGATTGAGAAGATCAGGTCTGAGGGAAAAGTTCATAACTACGTGTACATGTCAGCTGTAGCAACTAACCCATGAGTGTTCATGCTCAAGACTTCTTGGAGGTAAAAGAAACTGCTTGAGCCATGCCTCAGGGGTCCTGATATCTTGCACTAGGACATAAAAGTGAACAGTGGTTTCTGACCTAGGACTCCACATTGTTCAGTTTGCTCAGTGAAGCCTGCAGCAAGGACTGTTGATGTTTTTCACCAAGGCAGACACCCTCCCTGCCCACCCGAGCACCAACAGCTGCCTCAAGGTGCCCAGGAGGGGCCACAGCCCTTGAAGTCGAGCAGTTCAGTTCAGAGCAGACTATGAAGCTATGAGGTTCAAAGCTTCCAGCGAGTCCAGGATAATGTATTTCGCTCCCTGTTTGTTAGATCACTTTAAAGTAGATGGTTTCCTCTCTAGCTCCCTCATCAAGGATCATGAATGTGCTGCTGTGGACCTGCCAAGAACGAAGTACAGGAGCTATGCCCAGGCCATACACACCAGTTGGATTGCAAACCAACCTGCAGATGGCAGAGATTTTAAGGAAAAGAGAGAATTACACATGATCTCCATCAGGAATGGACATAAACACTAAGGTTTGACTGTAAGAAGTAGTGGAGGAGCATTTAAAACCCTTCATGTTCAGAGTCATTGCCAGAAGTGGAAGGTCAGAGGCATTGCTTGAGGAAAGCTGACTTCAGAGTAAGAGATGACCCAAATTCCCACTGCCAGAAAGCAGAGGAGATGCTCAAGGAGACCCTGCAGTTGCCCCAAATGCAGACAAGATTAGCTTGGTGCACTTGCAGCATGAGAAAAAGCTGGGGATTCAGAAAATACCATCTGGCACATTGATCCCAGTACGTACTCTAATTCCACCTTTGCTCAGACAAATGGAATTTAAGACTACAATTTATCTCCCTTTAAAGGTCAGGACTGAACATCTTGAAATTGGCCACATGATTTAGCACCTTCAGGTAGCTGCAATAACATCAGCAGGCACAGTGAGTATGGTTACTGGAGGGGAGGCACACTCCTCATGGGCACTCATTACACAAACATGGAGACTTTGCAGCTAGGATGCAGCTATCCCAAATTTCTTTGCACAGAACAGCAACTGCTCTACCTACCACAGCAAGGGATTGCTTTCAATAGACTCCTCTCTTGATTTGATGGCTGTTGCAAGGCCTTTCCCAAGAGGGAATCCATCTCTTGCCAACTTGATACTGGGCAGAAACAAGTCTTTCCATGCCAGTTTGCCATGACGTTTGTGAGCCAGTTCATAGCCACGGATTTCTCCTGGAACAGCAATGGACAGTCCTCCTGCAGCAGATAAGGAATGTGTCAGTCTTCCATGGCAAGAAAATAAAGCAACTGATGGAGCAGGAGGTAGAGCAGGTGTCTCTGCCAGCCCTGTTTTTACACAGGGACTGTGTATACTGTGACCAGGTCAGCTTGTGCTCGTGGTGCTAACAGATTTATTCGGTCTGACCTTTGTGCCTGCGTAATTCTGGACTGCTGAAAGACTCCCTCCTCTTGCTGGTAATTTGAGTTTTAGGGTAATTTCCCCTCAGTAGGCTCTGTACCAGAGCAAAGCTGCTCAGAACACAAAAGCTAAGAGGACACAGACCGTGACAAATGTAAACCAAAAAGTTTGTTGCAGCATTGTACCTACAACTACAACATATTGATTACTATATTTCACACTGATGCAATAGTTGCTTCACTCCTGTTTTCATTGGCATTTCCCAGTTCAACACACTGCTCAAACCCCCTCCAAGGTGCTGTTCCTTCTTGGTTAGAGGATTGACCATGAAGAGAACTAGCTGGTATTTCTTTCTATTTTTGATTAGAAATTACTTCCCTGAAAGGAAATCACTTCTTCTCTGGAGGCCCCCAAGCCATTAGTTGAAGCCACCACAACAAGTATTTAGAGAGGGCACTTGAACTGGCAAAAACCAAGATGATCCACAAAAATCTGTTCAAAGAGGTAGAAAGGAAAGATGGCAGATATGGGAACAGGTCATAGGCAATGCTTTGGATTCACCTGCATTTTCATGAAGTGAAGAGTGGAAAGCACTGGGGTGATTGCCTAGTTTAAAGGACATTATTTTTAGCTTTTTTGTTTGCAGATTGTGTAATGTAGAGGACATTCCTGGTGAGAAATCCTGTAGATAGGGAAGAACCTATCCACAAGAAATGTTCTTAATTTAGACATGCCAGTAGCAGCTAATGTTAGAGTTATGTGGTCCCCCCAAAGCAGTGAAACAGCCTTCACCATACCTTTCATAGAGAGCTGTGTGTTGTTCCCAAACATGTTCTCCGATGCGTTTTTTGGAGCCATCTCTCTTGCATTAATGATTTCCACTTTTCCTTTAATGACAGAGCAAGGAAGATGATGTTTAGCTCTGGACTCAGCACACAGGGATGGTCTCTGCTGAAGGACTGATCTGAGTGAGCCAGGTTCTTGGCAAATATTTTGAGGACATTTCCCCAGAGGCTGTGAGCATCAGTCTTTTACCTTCACTCACATAGGATAAATCATCTGCTTTAGATAAAGTTCTCAAACTGTTCCAAATGTCTTCCTGTCCCTTACCTGTGCTGTTGTAGATGGTAAAGAAGAGGCCCCCTCCAATGCCCATGCTGTGAGCATTCATGAGTCCTACACAAAGCAGAGCTGCAATCGCAGCGTCCACTGCTGATCCTCCTTGCTGAAGGATGTCCCTGTGCAGCAGAAGAGAAAGTGACATGTTAGAGTGTCTCAGCTACCTGTGAGCAGTGGATTCATCTCATCAGAGCAGCTGTGACAGATTCTCTAATGCATATTTGTCCACACCCAGTCTATAGGTTCCTCAGGAACAGGAAGTTTTGAGCTTCTGTCACCACAGACAACAGATCCTAATGGTCTAGCTGCAGACCAGATCAGTCCACATTAGAGACACATCCAAATGAGCTTGAAAACATGAAGATGTGTCATAGTATGTGTAGGAACAGGTAATCCAGACACTTTACACACGAGAAATGACAACTTTCTGAGCAGCCTTAATTCTGCAGCAATTGAGTCTAGAACTGGAGCATTTCTTGATAAATGTTTTTGAAAGGAACTAGAAAGCCATCTTTTGTTCTCCTTGTTCATGGACCCAGGGAATCTTTGCCTGCTATGTTGTCTGCAAGCAACTGCAGTAATGCTGGTCAGACATGGTAAAAGCCCAGGTTTTATTAGAGCCCTCTCTTTCTACAGGGATATTAGAGACTGATTATCTGTGCTGGGCAACTGCCAGGAATGCACCTGGACATCAGGGAAACAACAGTTATTTCTCATGCAAAAGCTGTCAGTGTTAATGAGAATCACAGCACAATTAATGGGTACCTTCCAATTATTGAGCATGGCCCTGCATCTGTAGCCACAGCTGCCCTCTTGTACGTGTGTGCATCCCCTGAGCCAGAGCGCAGCCCGAAGAAGAGTCCCAGGAACAAGATGAGCCCCAGCAGGGCTGCAGCCAGGACTCCTGCCACCACACAGCGCTTCTTCATCTTCCTGTGGGAAGAGAGGGTCATCAGCCTTGCTGCTTCACAGGCACACGGGAACTAGGGACAAGATGATCAGGCACAAGCATAGTCTTTTCATCTACCTCCTTTCATACCCTCAAACCAGCAACTATCACTCAGGTAAGAACCTGCCTTGCAGCAGGTAGGTAAGATCATACACCGAAAAAGCTGCAGATTCATAGGTGAGAAAGGAAATCCAAAGGGAAGAACACAGTTGGTATTAGTCATGACTCACATCATCTTCAGAAGATAAATTTTTAAACAAATTTATCTTCATACAATCTGCTTTTAAATACCATGTCTGTGAAGAAGCCTCTGTCCATAAGGTTCTCAGTAAACACATCTTAGTCATTAGCAAGCCACCCTGGCCAAAGCTGTTTGGCACAGCCCAGTGTGAGCACAGCACCCACTCCTGTTCAGGGTCCTTGGACACAGCACCTTCCCAATGAGCCTGCCACTTCCAGAGGAAAATGGCCAGTGCTCATGTCTGTGTGTCCCAGCCCTGCACACAGCTGCTCTCGCGGGGCACAGGGTTACAGTTCATCTGTGAGTAAGCATAGGACACAAAGCAGCTCTCGGGCAAGCACATTCCAGATACACACTGAGATGAATTGGGAGCTATTGAGTGGATGGAGAGTCACTGCCACCTTGGTGGGACTGACAATTCATCCAATACAGCGTGAACAGCTATTCTTTGACCTATTTCCTTTTCCATTACAGGATTGTTCCAACAAAAGAGACCTAAATTCTTCACATTGCCTTCAGGGATCACCTCCCCCCTGCGTAGTGCAGCTTTGGGTTTTTACCACATCTACAGTACTTGTGCAATAACTAAGATGCCCTTTAACTTACCAAAGCATCTGCCATCCTCAGAGACAAGCAAGTCCATGGAATTGTGGGTGAAGAATGGATCCACCAACCCCACCCTCTGTGGATGTTCAGCAGCCCAAAACAGAGTAAACTCCAGCAGCCAAGGCAGCACTTGATGCCTTGCAGCAGCCACACACGCAGAATCAGGGAGCAGTGAGTGTGCCAGCACTGAGCTAACTAGAGAAAACAGGCCAGGCCAGCCAAACCAAAACTTTCCTCAGAGGGAGGTGATTAGCAAGCAAGGCCCCCTCAACCTCACCCCCACTCCTGTTATTTAAACTAGGAGATATAAATTTGCTGTCTAACCTCTGTATCTGTGAGTCTGTGAACACTAAAGGTGTCCACCTCCAGGTAAAGCAGCTTAAACCAGGGTGCAGATCTACCGTATGTGCTGTTCTGTAAACAACTGTCAACTGAGGGCAGTAAAAGGTAAATGGATGAAACCTCTTTACAGGTTCTAGAACTTAATTTACACTCAACTACTTTTAAAAGAGACCAGTGGCGTGTTTGCAGAGCAATGACTGTGCAGGGAAACAGAGAAGCCATTATGTCCCCAACAATAGCTCACACACACAGCCTCAGAGTTTAAAGACAGTTTTGTTTGTTGGCAGAGAGAGTTCAGCTTCAGCACTGGCAGTCTCCTCCAGGCTTCACAAGAAATGCCATGGGATCTATTATCTGAGCCCCAGCTCGGCAGAAGGTACTTTGTTTCATCTGAAGGCTGCTCTATGCTGGGCTGTTCTGCAAGCCCAGGGTGACTCAAGCCCCGTAGCTGGTGTGTTAACCCATGGGCTCCTGGCTGGAGCTCTGCAGCTCTCCTCCACAGCTGCTTTCCTCACTGCTGGACTCCTGGAGAGACTTACTGTCTCATCAGGCAAGTTATTCTGACAGCAGGAGAGGAGAAAGGGAAATCTCAGATACTACTTCTGCTCTCATCCTTTTCCTCTTCTTTGGAATCAGATCACAGTTGTGAGCATCTCCTAGTCCCAGAAGAGCTCCATGCTGAGTGTCCCACTGCCCAGTGAGTGCACAGACCTTGACAAAGGCTCTCCACCCACTTCATACACCTCAGCCCCAGCTCCCAGCCTGCCTGCCCCGGGGTGAGGATAAGACACACCACCGGGGCAGGAACAAGCACACAGACTGCCAGGAAGAGACACTGGCTGCTGGGCACTGTCCCTGTGCTGCACTGTGGCACCGTGCTGTCCTCTGGGCTGGGCCTCTGTAACCCAAGTGAATGCCCTTAATAAAGGTGTATGTGTGCGATCTGTCAGAATGATCCTGCTAAGGCAGAAGCAGATGTATGAGCTAAAGACCTGCAGCTTTCTCTTCTTCAACAGTACAGAGGGCAAACTCAGCTGAGGTTAATCCTCTCCACCTTTACTGCCAGCTCAACTCCTATAAGCTCCTTAACTTGTTTCAGGCCTGACCCTGGAGGGAAGTATCCCTTGCACACTCTACTGTCTTCCCAGCTGTGGCACATAAGAGTCAAATGTGGATTTTTTTGCCATACAGCTATTGGGAGTTGGATCAGGAGCCTGCAGATATCCACTGTCTAACCTACCTCTTCATACTTGCTCAGTGCAGGCACACTGCATGAACAGCTCAGTTTTCGCACCAATGGACTGTTTGAACCTTGGCTCAGAGTCGAGTCCCTACTATGATTTATTGTTGGGAGTGGAGCAGCAGCTGCTATCCAGGCCACAACCTGAGCTAGCTCCCCAATTATTGTCTGCTGAGGTTGGCTTTAACCTTCTCATCTCTGCCAAAACCAGCTGTTTGAAAGCTTAGCTGGCAGTTTGGTCACAGAGTGCTGCTTGGCAGTAGCAACAGGTCTTTGAGAGAGGGGCTATAAAGCAATTGAAAGCAATACAATTATTTCTTGCTGTTATAAAGGTCCAACAGCCAGTCCTAGCCATGGAATTTAAAATGTCATATGATTGCCTTAATCTATATTAGAAGAAGGGGAGGACCAGCAACGAGCAAAGTTTGCTTGTACAAGCAACCCCACTGAGCTGTATTCAGATATGTCACAACATGTGCAACCTTATCTAAATGTGACACTGGCTTTGAATTAAAGGAACCCCAGTGCTAGCTAGTGTCAGGCAGGGGATACAGGATCTGACATCTCTGCCAAGAGGGCTGGCGTGTGCTGCAGAGATGTGGAGTCTGCCATGGTCAGGGAAAGGGCCAGGAGAACTGGAAGAGGAGAAAGGAGATGGACCAGCCAGAAAGCAGTGGGAAAGAGAAGGGCAGGATACCAGAGGATGACAAAACACTCCAGGTATGGTCAGGCACTGGCTTGTTCTTCAATGAAGTAGTGAAGGAAGCATCCACTTGACAATGCCTAAAACTTTAACCACAATCTTTAGCCGAACAGGTTTCTGCTTCAAACCCATGTTGCAACAGCTGCATACCTCAGCACCCACTCCTGAGAGTTCCTTATACTCCCACTCCCAGACCAGTAGCCAATACTTGGCCATTAGCTTTGAGTCATCCATCCTTACTTTCCCCAGGTAGCATGGCCATAGACAAGGATAGTTTGAGCCTCTTGTGGCTGTGCTCCTCTGGTAAAACTCAAAATCTAATCTGCATCACTAACATTGCCATACTTAAATAATCAATAACAAACAGTTGAAACAATATTTTCACACTCTGATGTTGTGTAGAGTGAACTCTCAGTGACTTTTGAGTGAGAATGTACATAAAGGGAACAGTCACAAGATTGCCACAGGGTCTCCAGGAGCCAGCAGAGGCCTTGAAAGAGCAGATCCAGGTTCCTAGCAGAGGCCAAAGTTCATACAAATGTCCTGTTACTGATTCAGCATTATGTGGCAAACTGTGAAGTACCTGTAGTTATCCATCATGAGATATTTAAGTTGAATGTAGCCTTCATCTCCACCACTGATAAGAGAACTAAAGCAGAATTCAGCCAAGCTGTGAGGACGCCCCAAGAGGCTTACAAATTCAGATCTAGGCACTGGTCCCACCTGGAGCAGGAGGACAGAGCAGTCCCTGGAGTAACACAGTAACTCCATTCAACCCAGTTAAAAGCCTTCCTCATAGCTGGTGTCTCCATGCCAGCTCCTGTCCAGCCAGCCAGTGCCCCCTGGGACTTGCTGCCTCCCTCCCATCAGAGGCAGGACAAAAGCCTTTAGCACCCTCTTCATTAAGCCCAGCATTGTGAGCTCGTGTGGATACAGATCAGTCTTCGGGGAGGGGGGAAAAAGGCCTCAGTGGGGATCAGTGGTCCCTACTTATGGCTGTGATATCAAGCCAGAGGTAATGGGCACTGAGCACAAAGCCCCTGAATACAGCAGGCTGCTCAGCTGGCTCTCAGGTGTGCTGCTCAAAGAGACCTATTGTCATTGCAATTTGCAACTCCTCCACAGGCAATAGCTTTTCAGAAGCTTAATGGCATGCAGTATTTTGTCCAATGTAGAGTAAACTCTGAATTCACTGAGAAAGAGACAATAATTTCCTCTTAAAGAAACTTCTTCCTCAAAAATCTTTCATGTTTTCCTGCAGAAATTTTAGCATCAAATCCAACATCTTTTATTTTAAGACACTTCAGCATAAACTATGAAGTTAAAAAAGGCAGAAGGGTGGAATAAACACAGAATTCCCTATTTCATGTAGTTTTCACAGTGTTCCTTGTTGAGGACTGCACAGAAATCCAGAACTGGCAAACTCAATCTCAAAAATGCTTGTTATAAAATCGAGTTTTATAAACTAATTAAAAACATGACTGTTGCACTCACTCCCAATTCAAAATGCTTCATTAAAATAGTTCAATTCTCCCAACTGTTGCAAAAGACATTTTCAGGTGCTCTTCTGCCATTAAACTAGAAGTAGTTTATTAGATTTGAGCTTACTCAGACTGGTTAATCGGGTCCTATCCTTCCCTTTTGGCAAGCTTTCATCTGCTGTATTAAAAAATCACATTGCCTCATATTCTGTTGAATAAGAAATCCCTCGCTGCACTTTCAGGTTGAGGGGAATGGCTCAGTGAAGGTAATTCCTAATTCCCCCTTACCTCTTGAGAATATTTGCAAGTCTGTCCTGTCCTTATGCACAGATCTGTATGTACTGATACCCTCTGAACGTCCTTTCTC